ATCCAGATCTCGAACAGAGAATGGGCGGGTTGTTCAACAGGGTGGAATTTATATGATGAAAAGAAATTCCCTTTTTTTAGCTCCATAACGAACACAGCGAAGGACACTCGCCACACTTTTAGTAGCCAATCAGCGAATTCCTTACATTTGAATGGCGATTTTGATTTCAAATACCCCCGGACAAGTATTCTACATTGTTCTTGTAATGAAGTGTTTGTATGCAAGGGACAATGATTGCAGTCACATTTTATTCGCAGTTGCCTTAATGTTACCCCAACAGATCATTTGGGTGAGAAATTTTATTATTTTCCCCCTGATTTGTAGGAAAACTAAAAAACCTGTTTCTCAACTTTATTTAATTTCAGGCCATATTCAAGATGTTACCCACAAAGTGGCTGTGCCACTACTTCTTCGACTTGCAACTGACACCTCAAGATGTTACAAAATACAAATTACTGTTTCCATATTTTCTACTCATTGACAATCTTCAACCAACACTTGAAAAGCCAATCTGATTAAAAAGAAATCTTTGTATTTTTTTGCTTTCAAAAGAAATGATCATTATTTGTACTTTTGTTAGTTTTGTTGCCTGATTGCAAAAGCCCTAAGAGAAAGAAGATCTGATCTGAAAAAAACTCCAACAAAACCAGCATCAAGTCAAATTGCTGGAGTAATCTGCACACAATGCAGCTGTTGAACCTGTTTGAAAATAATTGGAGTTGAACTATAACTTACTTTGATCAGACATGTATTTGTAATCAGGAAACAAAATATACCGACAAATACAACTTAAATAGATAAATAAAAGAAATAAGTAAAAACAATTTTTAACAGACATGATTCCTGACATAGAAAGAAAAAAGTAAAAAAAACATCACATTACAAAATCACAATCTTTTTTTTCCCCCAATCAACCACAATGTAAGTATTGAATATTAGTCATAAAAATTAACATTCATGATTGCCGATTTTCATTCAATCTACCTAAATTTAAAACTGTCTCTACAGAAATTACTAAGTGTGTAAATTAAGTCTATAAAATGAATAAAAACCTGATTTAATCAAACAAAGACTCTTAAAAAGAACTGTCATACTTGACAATTTTTCTAATGTATTACTCCTATTTTACTAAATCATCAAGATATGATAAATAGTGTGACTTCATAAAACGCACATTGGAATAATTAATGGTGAATCTATCAAATGACAATCTCTAATACTGCAGGAAAACCTACTGTGGAATACTTTATTTTCGCTGGAATTAATTTTCGCTGAAAAGGCTTTTTGGGCGTTTTGCTTGGAATTTATTTTCACTGATTTTTCATGAGTTTAATGTGAAATATAGGAAAAAAAGTACATTCACTGGATTTTATTTTCACGGAATCATCCCTTCAGCGAAAATAAATTCCAAGTGAAAATAAAGTATTCTACAGTAATTCAACTACCGGTACATTTGAAATCACATGAATCTAAACTGACTGGCACATGCACTTCAAATAAATGCGTTATTAAATGAATCAAAATCGAAATATCTCTTTTCATCAGATGAGTTATACAAAATCGTACATTCTCTGAAATGACCAAAATATATCAGTGACAACAAGTTTCTAATGAAAGTTACCATGGCATTTTGGACACCATCATAACAGTACATTCTGAACATAACTTAAATACAAAGTTAGCTTAGCCTTGTCATAAAGCTTGTGAAAGACTTTAATTTTTATCAATAATTTCAACATTAAAGTGCCTCTGCCCAACCATACATTTCCCGTTTTGTATTCCACTGAAATAGACAGTTATTGATTTTTTGGTTGAAAATGATTACTCGTATCCGAGTAAATTTGAAATATTTCTCTTGTTCTAGCCACGCCCACCTGTCCTGAAACAGTTATTTCCTATTTCCAGCTTTCCGAATCTAGCCGAAGTAATAGTGCACCAGCAAACGCGAAAATATGAGAGGAAGCCATACTCTTGTACTATACTTAAAAATACTGCGCCATATGTTTTTCGGTCAACGTTTTTTTTTTTTTTTAAACGTTTGCAGCATTTTTGGTGGAATAGTGTGAAAATTTACGCATTTCCAAATGATTCGAAGGTGTAACATCTGTAGATGAAAGACGTAAAATCAATGAGAAAAAGTTGGAATAGACATTGTCTTTATACCGTCATACCGTAGATTCCTACGCGGAACAACTGTCCTCGCATTTAAGAAAGAACAACTTGGATGTCAACAAATTAAACCTAGCACAGTACTAACAATACTTCTTAAAGAACCAGATTCCGGACCAGCCCATGTTCACTGCGTCGGCTTTCAAAGAGAGACAAGCGTCAAATGTTCTGGGAATCTGAATAACGCTTTTTAGTGACCATACAGTTTGTGTTATGTGAGAGGTAGCAATGACATGACAGGCAAACCGATACATCGAACAGACAGGAAATCATGCAGCACTCACACGCAATTGTTTTTAATTTTGCTGTATAAAAGATTGTGAATGGTTTTTTGATTGGTGTTGACTTCACACTTCTGTGATCTTTTCTTGCAATTTGATCTGCATTAAAGTGGGATGTCAATATTTTGCAACCACATATTTATAATGTAATGTCGTAATTATGGTCGAGATAGACATAGCGATCATAGAGTTCCATGGCAATAGATGTTCGTCGACCACAATACAAGTGACTGATTCTGCAGTACACAGTTAATCATGGCGACCAGCTACGCCATAAGGGATAGATTTCATATCTAACTAAACCATGTATGATAAACTTTATCGTTCTTTATGGTCCACTCTTCCTCAAGAAAGAAATACATGAGTGACAATTTAGTCAAAGACGAGAAAATTGAATAAGAAATGTGCCTTATATACAATATCGGCAATGCACGCTGACCAGCAAGTTTCCCTTCATGTCACAAAGGGTATTTGAGTATGCAAAATGAGAAGTTAATGAGAAGCCTCGTTTTAAAATACATAAAAATAAAATTAGCATAGATTAATTTTAAAACCATTTTTTTCACTTTAAAAGTTTATTTTGTACTTAATAACATAAAAATAATAATATTGATGTACCAATAAATAAATGGGGCAGAAAATAGCAGGCATTTCACAGGCACTTTAATTATGAGACTTATAAATCAGATTACTCTTCACAGTTTAGATATATGGTGGTTTGGAAAGCAACTAGCTGATTATGCTCAGACTGCACTGTAACTGGGCAAATTAAACAAATACTGAACAGATATAAAAAGCTAGTAGAAAAACGAAATCAGATTAAGTGTTAGCTAATCCCTGCCAATAGCAAGTATATGTGTATAGCGACTGTATAGAACTAATTTTGGTTTGAGCCTGTACACCATCATGAGAAGAACACGATACAAGTGAAAGTACGAGGGGTGATCAATAAGTTCTCAGCCTCACCATGAAACAAGGGACAGAACTCCTATTCTTGGGTATAAGTTTATACTATAACGTCTTAAGTCACTACCTATAGAAATGCAAATTTAGGTATTCATTAATTAGCATGTGGTGCCAATTTAAAATCAGCAGGCGAGACGAAAATCACAAAATGGACCAGACAGAAGCTCGTGCTATGATCAAGCATCTCTATAAAAAGGGGATGACTCACAAAGAAAAAGAAATAGTTACGATACTTGGTGAGGACTCTCCTGCTTATTCCACTGTAAAGAAGTGGGTTGCTAACTTTAAGCGAGGCAAGGAGAGCACGAGAGATGACCCAAGTTCGGACGCCCAAAATCTACCACGGACAATCAGGTTGAGGCCATCCATCGCATGGTAATGAATGACAGACGTGTCACTATCTGACATATCAGGCATCAGTTATGGCGCAGTTCAAAATGTTTTGTCGAACATCTTGAGGATGAGCAAGCTGTCTGCATGGTGGGTGCCCCAAATGTAGAAAGTTTCATGGACGCTTTAGGCCCGTTTCCAGTCAAATCCTGGTGACTTCCTCAAGAAATTTATGACCCCAAGATGAGACATGGGTTCACCACTTTGATCCAGAATCAAAATAGCAGAGCAAACAATGGACACACAAGGGTTTCACAGCCGCCCAAGAAGTTCAAGCGAGTGGCATCAGTCGGCAATGTGAGGGCCTGTGTTCTGGGACAGCAAGGGTGTCATGATTGACGACTTGCAAAATGGTCAAACAATCAATGGAGAGTACTATGCTTCAGAACTGCAACAGTTAAGAACAGCAATCAAAGTGAAAAGAGGAAAGCTTTGAGCTGGTGTGCTGTTGCTCCAGGAAATGCACCTGTCCACACAGCACAGCACAGCACAGGTGGCAGTTGCAGCAGCAACCGAATGTGGCTTTGAACTCTTACCTAACCTTCCTACTCCTGACCTGGCACTGTCGGACTTCTACCTGTTTCCTAAACTGAAGTCCCACTTGCTGGTCACCGTGTTGAGACTAATGATTCATCCAAGCTGTTGAGGCCTATCTAAAGGATCAAGATGAAACCGTCTTCCAGCAGGGAATAGGAAAACTGGAACATCGATGGACAAAGTGCATTGAAGTGTATTGAAAAATAGTGTAAGGAAAATCTTCCTTCTGTATCAAAGGCTGAGAACATATTGATCACCCCTCGTATAAAATTTGCACTGAGACAGACACTAGTATTACACTCAATATAACCAACTGGTTTTCTACAATTGATGTCACATGACCAGAAGCTATTAAAATTATTGAAAATCAGGATGCAATACTGTGCGTAAACAGCATTAAAGAGATAGAGCGGAAACTTCCTGATTTTGGACAGAATAAAACCTCAGGAATCACTAAGAATCTAACAAATGTGGAAATCCGATAAACAAACGGGAGGGGAGCAAGTCACTGTTTCTATGGAAACAAATTCGAGCATCTCCTATTTTTTTTTATTTATTTAATGGTACCTTTTGCTTTTAAATTTTACGTATTTCTATGAGTTTATTGTGTCCATCGTTGATTAGTTTTAACTTTGTGGAAGTAGGGAATGGTTTAATATGTTCTTACAGCGTCACTCAAGACAGATGGTCCACACCGGCTATACTTGGTCCAATACCATGCTCACAGAAAGAAGAGTCGATCTGATAAGTCATGCGCTGGTTCTTTGTGGATATTCTGGCCAACTAAGTAAGCCAGTTTATGTGCGTACTGACATGGTGCTGGTACACGCACTGTACCAGGCCAGTTGTAATACATATGGGTCAACTTGTAAGACAATCTGAAAATAAACACCTCATTGGTTAGCACTATACGTACAAAACACTAATAACAAGAAATAAGTCTGCACACATTCATACGATGAATAAATTTTGTTAACAGTTGTCTTCAAATAAAGCGAAAAATATTAGGGACTGGAAAAATGATTTTGAAGAAAACATTGCTACCGGTAA